GGCAGTATAGGATATTTTGGTCCTTTTGTCAATCTGAAGCGTAGGAGTACGTTGGCGTTGAGTGGCTGGTTGGTGCTGGGTGGTCGAAGCAGGGAGGTCGTACCAAAAAGGCCGAAGCAGGGAGGTTGAACCAAAAAGGCCGAAGCAGGGAGGCCGAACCAGAGAGGCCAACCCGAGGGAATGGGTGGTCAATCAAAAAGAGGAAAATTCTTGCTTGCACGACTTTGGCGACAACCTTGCTTAGCTCTGCGAGGTGGTATTTTCTGGCATACATAAAGTTTTCGAGTTTTTTTATTTCTTGGAGGCGAAGTTGTGATAAAAATGAAAAGCTCATAAGTGTAGAAAATATTATTTCATGAACCACTAGTTGGACTTAGTTTTTTATCAGTCCTTCCGTTGGCCTTTGATCAGAAGATTATTATTGGTTAAGTTTCTTAGACATTGTGTTTGGTGGATCGATTGACTCGTCCTAGAGGAGATGCTTTATTTGCTCGTTCCTGGAGGAGAGTCTTTGTTTGCTCGTCCCGGAGGAGAGGCTTTGTTTGCTCGTCCTGGAGGAGAGGCTTAAATGAGAGGATGAAATATTTTTGTATTGTTTCTTTTTTTATTTGAGCAAAGTAAACAAGCAAATGAGAGGATGAAATATTTTTGTATTGTTTCTTTCTCTTTTTTATTTTTTTCTTTATTTGAGAAAAGTAAACAAGGCAAAAGAAAGATGCTTATCTTTTTGTTTTTTCGTATGGGATTTACTTTGGAAGTGAGAGTGGTTCTTCCTCCCTTTTCTTTTTGCTCTGTGCCTTCTCACTTAATTTTTTTGACTTGTTCCTCTTATTTTCTTCTTCTTTCTTTCTTCTTTTTCCTCTTATTCTTCTTTTTCTTTCTTTGGTTTGGGCTCTTTAACTTAGATGACTCATCTTCTTGTTGGCGCCACGATCCACGCTCACTGCACTATTTAGGGTGTTGAACCTAATAGAGCGTGGAATCTGAGGGAAGGAGAAAGAGAATGAGAGAAAGAAAGAGAGAGTTGCTCCGCGGGGGTGGGGGCCAAAGTGGGGTGTTTTCGGGTTTTTTGGTTCCTTTTATTCCACACAAATGAGATTATAATGTGGGGTTGAGGCAGAGAGAGAAAACCCCCCATTTTACCCATACCTTGGTCTTCTATCTACAAAAGATGACAATATGAAAAAGACTATTACGATAATACCCCTGCTTTAAGGGGGGTAGTATAAGATATTTTGATTCTTTTGTCATTCTGAAGCGTTGGAGCATGTCGGCGTTGGGTGACCGACCCAGGGAGGCCGAACCAGGGGGGCGACCCAGAGAGGCCAGACTAGGAAGGCCGAACCAGGGTGCCAACCCGAGCGATTGGGTGGCCGATCAAAGAGGTGAAAATCCGTGCTTGCGCCACTCTGACGACGACTTATCCTAGGTCAGTGAAGTGGTATTTTTTGGCCATACATTTAGTTTAGTTGATGATGAAATGAAAATAGTTTTCTCCAACACTAGCCTTTCGACTCTTTTTTTTTTTATCTTCCTCCCCGATCTTGTTCTTCTAAGGTTTCCTGTTTAAACCATTCACGTCCTTTAAAATTTGTTTTTCATTTGCGTAAAAAATGTTTTGAGATTGAAAATTCAATGTCACCCCCGCTCACATTCTTTTTCATTAGGGAGCATCTTTATCTCGGACTCACAATCTATTACTTTTATCTCCAGGATACCACTCACTTTCTTCATTTTTGGCTACAGGTGTGCCTCTCATGATTGTTAAATATTGCACTTGAATTAATCATGATTCTTAAGCATTTTATTCACATGAGCACATTACCTTTGCGCGACCTTTGTGTCTCACTTGGTCCACATGCTGCCTAAAATCAACATGCGCTTCACTTGCTTGTTTAATCAAAACATGCATCTTTTTTTCATTGCGCATTTTTGTTGTTGTTGCATAAACCCAACGTATGATTTGGATTGGCTACTTTGACTTCTACACTTCAACTATCACATGCATGCTCTTGTTCACAATCCTTCTACTTTTTTGTTGCATTCTTCTTTGCTAGGTGCATCATAATAATTGTGCTAAAAAAAGAAGTCAAAATGGCGGCTATAGTTTGAGCACAACCGTCGAGGCAGTTTTGTCATTATGAGAAGATTGTCTCCATTCGAACCAAAGAGACGACAGAGGTGCGGAGAGAAACAAAGAGTGAGTTAGAAGAAGGATAAGGAAAAAGCCTGTGTGTGAAGAGGTAGAGTGAGAGAGCTACCTACTTGCGTTACGCTCTCCTATGGGTGACCACACCACCGCGGATGTGTTGACGAGGGAGATGGGCGGGAGAGATTGTCTTGTGCGTAGGGCAAGGAAGATGATGTTGATTGCACATGCGCACTCGGGCGATGCTGCTGTGTAGGGAGGCAGAATGAGAGTAGTGCGGTCCTATAGGAGAGAACCATATGGGTACTTGTGGAAGGAGGGGTGCGAGCATCCTTTATTAAGGGAGACACGTAGCATTATATATGCTTATGCGAGTGGAAAGAGACGGGGGAAACTTGTGTAGGATGACGTCAAGAAGACAAGCATATGATACGACAGAAGTATGCCATAAGCCTAAGGTAAGTTTCGGGCTTTTTTCTGGTATAAGCTGAACCTTTTTTTTCCAATTAAAGTTTTTGTGTTAATATGAATCTTATAAATCAAAATTTGTGATTAAAGAACTTTTGGTTCAAAGGATTAATGGTTTTGGATTGTCAATTATGCAAGAGGATAAAGAAGGAAAAAAATTAAGGTTATGATTTTAATTTTTTTGTCAGATACAATTAATTTTATTCAAAAGTTCATTAAATAAGAATGTTACATTTATTTGAAATCAATATTCAAAATTTACAATTGAAGAATTAACAATACTGACTCAGCTTGAAAAAAGTGAGTAAAGCCATTCTTATGTCTTTTATTTCTTTGTAAAACTTTAGATCTTGATTTTATAATAATAATAGATTAGTAGAGGACCAATGAACTGATCAAGTGGAGGAATATACTTAAAAAAAAGCATGTTCATAATATATTATCATGGTAATGCCATTTCATAGAGGTCATATTATAATAATGTCACTTGCTTAATATATAGAGCTCAACTATTTCTATGTCATTTCATCATGGGTTGTCACCTTGTCCAATTGCTCAAGTCACATTATAGTTTGAATTTCTAAGTCTATATGGATGTTTTATGAAACCAGTTCACATTTATTTTGAATTTGTATTTTGCTTGATTAATAATGCCTTCCATTTTCTGTAACTTTTTGTTAACTTTTGCTTCTGTCTATTCATCCTCAAGTCACATTATAGTTTGAATATCTATTACTTTACACTTCCTGTCCCTAGCGCCTTTAGTTGATTAACTGATTAATTATGAAAAATGTGCTGATGATTAGAACAATACTTGTGATGCATAAAATTGAAGCAAATCATTTGTATATATATATATATATATATACTAAAGAGCGATCTACGGCTCCTTACGCGTTAATCACAAAAAGAGCACAAAAGATTTGGTAGGGAGGGATCCCTCGCTAAAAATCACAAAACCATACAAAACGCATTCGCTAGGGGGTTCCCAAGCCCAAACAGAAAAGACATCAAAGTACACCCAACTCAGAGACATAAAATCAAAAATAAGAAATGAAAGGTAAACCCAAAACTGTAAACATGAATATTGGACCATAGTATTCTCACAAAAGAAACAAAAACATAAAGAATTGAGGCCAAGAAAATGAAGACGATGGGATGGAAGGCTGAATAAGTGTAGTCGAGGAGTGCGAAGCCGCCCAGAGATATCCCGAGACGAGTTGTAAGATGGAAGCAAAAATAGCTTGAGCGCAGCGACGTCCTTCAACCTCGATCGAATGTAGTTTAAGCAAAATCTCGCGTCGACCCGATCAAGCAAAGAGGACACCTGCATATATAAGAAGAAATCATGAAGGAAGAAGTTGAAGCATATGAAGGTATAGCAAGGGAGGAAAAGACCACACCAAAGAAGAAAGCATAATGAGATCCCCTCATGCCCAGCTAAACGAAACCAGAAAACAAAAATATTTCCAAAACAACCCATCATAATGAAATAAACCAAAAGGATCCAAGCAAAAATAGCTGCACCCAGAAAAAGTGGAGACCAAAATAAATATTAAAAATACGGTAATCGCAATCATGCAGAAGGATGGGTTCCCAACCGAGAAAGCATAGTAGGTTATCCAGTAAAACAACCCATCATAATGAAATAAACCAAACGGATCAGGCATGAAGTAGGATTTACTGGTTTTTTTCTAAATTGTAGTCTGCCATACATTCTGTCCTATAATCAGGAGGCAGCTTAGGATGTCCAAGCTTAGAACAAGAGGAGGATTTGGTTGAGGCTATATTGAATAATAAGAGATTAGTCAACCTCCGTCATTCCATAATTCTAGGGCTTGTCATTTCTTAGTTAGAAGCCTAAAATACCTTGTCATGTTTTGTGGTGAACATTAAATCGCTAGACTGGAACTGAAAGTGTTTTTAAATTCACGTTTATAGATGTATATTGAAAGAACAAATCTGTTTTGATGATGGATTGAGCAGTCTAAGAAATACCATCACCTGTCTACTAAGTGCTATGAGTAAAATAAACAGTTATTTTTTTGATGATCGAATGTGAATTCTAAGAAGTAGCCTCAATTGTCTAGTAAGTGCAAGGTGTTTTCTCACCTTCCAGTACAAGATATTAGATCCTTCATTTTGTATTTTAATTTGATCTCATACAACAGGACAATTGATCTTACCATGCTTCTATGCTTTAGTTGAACCATGAATTATTAACTGCTTTGATGGCTTTGTACTTACATAAATTTTCCCAGCATGTCATGACAACGAATGTAAGGTTAGCACATGTATGATTATTCTTCCAGTTTTTAATACTTTAGCACAAGCTCAAATTCCAATATCAAGAATTTTTGAGCGAATTCCATACCTTTTCCAGGCTTCACGGGTACAATTTCCACTATTTGATCGTATTCAATCTGCTCAAGATTCTCAATCAAAGGAAATAAATGAGCATTCAAAGGATTTGTCTGCAGAAGTATCTCAGTCCAATGGATCTCAAGAAATATGCTCAGACCTTGCTGCAAAAGAACCAAGGTCTGAGCCAGATAAAAGGTGCTATCAGCTTACTCTTGAAGTTTGGTAATTTGCAAAGCTTTCCGGGTTATGAGCATTTTGGATGCTGTTCAGGAATCATTTCTTAATTTAAATTTTTATTGATTCTCTCTCCTCTTGTTTGGCATTTCAGTTGAGTATTTCATAATTTCCCTTGTATGCCTTTCAGTTGGAGGCAAGTTTTTTACTTTTGTCGTAATCATTGCAATTTCTATTGTTGATCTTTATAATTTTTTTTTTCATATCTAAACATCTCTGTTATTTGCAGCTTTTGGGCTTGATCATTAATGCGCTTATTTTACTTTGCTTTCCAGAAAGCTAGAATATTACAATTCTGATTTTGCGTGAGAACCCACAACAAATAGTCCACCATTATGTATGATCTTCCTACGTTATATCATGATAATAGCGATTCACTTTTCTAGTTGCTTGGCCTTTTCTCTGACTAATGCATATTAATTGTAGCATGGTAAAGCCACATCATCACCAAAACTTTTAGTCTCGTTTAGCATATCCTTCTAAATGGGTTTTAACCATTTGTTGTGAAATGCATCTATGGTTAATTTTAATAGTAATACCTTTTTTTCCCTGTGAAATTTGAGGGCTACATTGGTCTCTTCATTAATAAAAAGGGGTCACATAAAACCTTGATGAATGAAAGACATGACAAAAATTGTAAAAACTATGAAATCAGAAAGACAAAAAACTCATCAACAAACTTCAAAATTATAAATCATGGTATAAAGAGGCTAAAAACGAGCTCTGGTAAATCTGTACATGGGGCAGCTTACTCCATCCAAAGTTATCCAAGAGAGCAGCAAATCGAAGGATCAATGTGCCAATGAGTCCCATGTTAAAGACTGAAGCATAGAGACACGTAGTCATCATGTATAACCTCCAAGATAGCTAAGAGTAAGTATGTAGTATCCATTAAACAATTGGTTTCCCAAAGTGTAAAAATCAACATGAGACTGCCTGGCAAGGTGTTGCAGTAAAAAGGAGACAATGCGGGTAATATCTGCAAAGTAGAGAAAAATCAAGCATAGAATCTATAAAATAGATCCCAAGACTAAGGGTATGTATGGGGTAGCCTCTTAGCTGCCTTTCGTTTTGAAAAGCCGGCTTGGAATAGTTTGGGGCATGCCATTTCATTTGCTTATCGTAAAATAGTGGCTGGGAAATGAAGTTTTGCGAACTGACGGATGTGCCTCTTTTTCGCATTCATTTTGCGGTTTGTTCTGTAAAAAGACATTGCCGCCCTTAGAGTTCCATTAATTACATATTTTACTGACAAATTTGAGGGTTGTTTTACGCACCAAGGGATTTTTGTTTTGACTCCGGTTGAAACTCCATGTGCTCCCCTTCCCCGTCACTACTTTTGCCTTCGATTCTTTGCTTCAGGTGACTTTAAATTTTGTTTTCATTATTTATTGCATTTTTCGTTTTTCCTAGGATTATCTTGCATCTTTTTGGTTGAGTTTTCTGAAGGAGATCATTTGACCATGAAAAAGAGTATTTTTATTTGGTTGTGTCGAGGGGTGTTCTTGCATTTCTGTATGTTGAGTTTTTTTTAAAATTTTCTCCTCTATTCCATAGTTCGTTTGCTGCTGAGGTGTTTGTACATCTCTATTTGTTGAGGTCTGTGATGAGGGAAATCACTGACGCGTACGAGGAAGAATTTTATAATTACATAAGCCATTTCTCGTGTCTATGTAGGATTATCTACTTTAGAATTTTCGAGTTAATTTTTTGGGTGATGATGAATTAGCTTGCATCTTTGTTAGTGGAAAATGAAATGATACTTTAATAATTTAGGGCAGTGAAGAAGGAAATCAATTTTTTTGAGTGCCGATGGATTATTTTTATTTTCTGTTATGTTTTTATCGGATGTCAAAAGGTATTATTGCATATCTGTTTGTTGGCTTATGTTTTAAATGAAGTCAGTTTTGAGTCGGCCATGAGAGGATACTTTCTTTTTAAGCACCAAGGCCATTTGTTACTTCTCTATAGGATGATCTACTTAAGAATTTCGAGTGCATTTTTGGGTTCCAATGGCTTTTCTTGCACCTTTGTTAGTGGGAAATTAAGGCATTTTTGATTACCTAGGGCTTTTGTTGTGTCTCTGTTGGTTGATCAACTTGAAAGACTAAAGCTTTGTCATTGACATTGAAAAATGAACTCAATATTGGGTGTCAAAGGGTGCTCTTCTATCTCTATTTGTTGACTCAAGTGCTAAACAAAATCAGTTTTTTTGAGTTGTTCGTGAGGAAGGAAACTTTCTCAAGTTCCCAGACCATCTTTTTTTGTTTTTGCATCTCAGTTTGCTTGTCGAACGAGATATTATTTGCTTTGGCCTAAGGGCATCACAGTTTTGTCCAATTGGTGCAATTTTCTAGGAGGTCACTCGTCCTAGGAGGTGCTTCATACATGGGCACACTTAACTTTGGTGTTTTTGATGAAATTTCAACTGCTACATCAAAAAACACTTCTATGTTTAAGAGCTCAGCTTCATTCTGTTATTTTGTGGAGCATGGCTGTGGTAGCTGGAGGGTTGTTCGAGTGCCCCAATGCTTGGCGCAGCGCCTTGGCGCTTTGCAATAGCGCCTCGACGCCAGCGAGAGCACTACGACACTCATACCAGGCTTCCGAAACAGAGCCTTTGACAATTCAATAATCAGGCGTGGTGCCCTTACGCCCATATATGTTTGTTTCCAGTTTCAAAAACATAGATCTCAACAATCTAGCACCAAAGGTTGGCTCATAGGTGCTTGTAACCAAATTTCTACAATTGGTGCTTTTATTTTGCTTTTGTCGCAGGAAGATAAACAATCGCTACAATAAATGAACAAATGTGTGAGCGAGTTCATGGTGTTGGATTTCTATTTTCTCGTGTGGTAGAGAATTGAAATAATTCATGAAGTGTTTTAAAAAGTAGAGAGATGCTTGTACTATTCTTCTCACCTCTTAATAGTGGATTTTTGGTGTTTTTGGGTTTTTCCAAATTAAATTTTTGTATTTTTTTCTGTGTTTCCTTTGTGCTCCTTTTTTCAAAATTTTACTTTAGATTTCTCGAATCATTTTCTAAAAGTGGGTCAAAGGTGAAGTTCAAAAAGCTGGAGTTAGGCATACTGATGTATGATGTCTTTTTCATTTCAGTCTATTGGAGGTTCTCTATATAGTCACTTTCATTGAAGATCACATAATGAAGGTACATGTGTATTTCTTGAAATATAAATATTATGTATTCGATGTGTTTTAAGAAGCGAAAAGTCATGATTGATAATGAGACAGGTTTAATGTTGAAGTGTCTCATATTAGATAATGGTAATGAGTATAATGATCAGAGATTCGGGAGTTATTATGCTTTAAGAGAGATTAAGTTGTTCCAAGGACACCGCAATGAAATGGTATTGCAGAACTCATGAATATAGCCATCACAGAACGTGTCAGGAGTATGAGGTTGCATGCAAACTTGCCAAAACTATTTTGGGCAGAAGCAATGAACATTACTGTTTATTTGATTAATTGTGGTCCATCATCACCTTTAAATGAATGTTTATCTAAAGAAGCTTGGAGTGACAAAGTAAATCTATCTTACCTGAATGTATTTGGTGATTTATCATATGTTCATGTTGATGCAGGATCCAATAGTAAGCCTGATGCAAAATCTGTCAAGTGTACTTTCATTGGGCATGACTCAAATGAATTTGGTTTTAAATTTTGGGACTATTTGAATAAATTCATTAGGAGTAGAGATGCTACTTTCCCTTAAATGGAGATGTACAAGGACAGAAACAAAACCCAGGATTGCCCATCAATTCCTTTTGAAGGTCCCTTCAAATATATTGAGATAGAAGACATTGTTAATTAGGAGGATAGAGAAATGAAATGTGATCAATCTGATGAAGCACATGAAGACTTTTAATCACCTGCTATTGAATTCAAGAAGTCTAGGCGAATCAAATCGATGCAAATGTATTCTCCTTCTTTATACTATTCATTGCTGACTGATAGTGATTAGCTTGAGTGCTATGATGACCACTTCAATTGAAGAATCAAATAAGAGTCTGCCATGAATGATGAGATGCTTTCATTAATGTCAAATTTGACATGAAAATTAGCAGAATTTTTAGATGGCAAAAAAAGGGTACTGCATAATAAGTGAGTCTATAGGCTGAAAGAAGAGTCAGATGACAGCAAACACTATAAGGCGTGGCTTGTTGTGTAGGGATTTTAGCAAAAAAGAAAAGGACTTTACTAAACTGAATAGTTTCTCATATAGTGATGATGATGACGGTTCGAGTTGTGTTGAACTTAATAGCAGATGAAGATATACATATGGAGCAGATGAATGTAAAGACAATCTTCTTACATGGTGACTTTAAAGAAGAACTGTACATGGTGCAACCACAACGATATGAAATTCTAGGAAAAGAAGTTCTAATCTGTAGATTGAAGATCTTTTATTGGTTAAAATATGCACCAAGGTAGTCATATAGGAGGTTTGACAGGCTTATGTATACAGTGGGTACACTAGGTGTCAGACAGATCATTGTTGGTTTATTAAAATAATTGATAATTTCTATATTATGCTTGTTTTGTAAGTGGATGATATGCTTATTGCAAGAGAAAATATGAAAAATGCCAGAGATTTGAAAGTTCAATAGAATTTGAAATGAAGAATCTAGGTCAACAAAAAAGTCTCGCCATGAGATTCAACAAGGACATGAGTGCAGGTATATTGAAGCAGTCTTAGAATATGTTGAGGTCATATACAAGCTCAAAATGAATGATGCAAAATCAGTTTGCATCCTCTTAGGTAGTCACTTTGAGCTATCTAAGAACAATCATCTAAGTTTGAAGCAAAAAAAAATATTGAAAAAAACTCCATATATTTCATTTGTTAGAATTTTGATGTATTCGATGATATATACAAGGTCAGATATTGCATATATTGTGGGAGTGCTCAACCAGTACGAGTAATTCAGGTAAACATCATT